GTTCTTGACGTTCCAGAAGGATGCGGACCAGATCTACCCGGGCTGGAAGGAGAAGCTCGGCTACACGGGCGAGTCCTCCGTCCAGGCAGCCAGCTTCAATTGGCAGAAGAAGGAGTTGGCCGCGGCGTTCGTTGGCGCCAGCAAGGCTCGCAAAGCGAGCTCTGTGACCCGCCAGGCCCTGGACCAGTCGAGCCGCTACGCGGACCTCTCGTTGACGGAGGAGGACCTGATCAAGAACGGCCAGCATGTGCTGGTGGCCTACATCATGAAGCCCAAGGCGGGCTACGACTACCTGGCCACCGCGGCGCACTTCGCGGCGGAGTCCTCTACCGGCACGAACGTGAACGTGTGCACCACCGACGACTTCACAAAGACTGTGGACGCGCTCGTGTACTACATCGATCCTGAGAACGAGGAGATGAAGATCGCCTACCCGACGGCTTTGTTCGACCGCAACATCACCGACGGCCGCGCCATGATGTGTTCCGTGCTGACTTTGAGCATCGGGAACAACCAGGGCATGGGTGACGTCGACTACGGCAAGATCAATGATATTTATTTCCCGCCGCAGTACCTTCGCCTTTTCGACGGGCCGTCGTGCTGCGTGATCGACATGTGGCGCATCCTGGGCCGCGGCACGGTCGGTGGTGGTCTGTGTTGCGCAACCGATTATTAAGCCGAAGCTTCGGTCCTGCGCCGAAGCCCTCGGCCTTCGGCCAGGCGTGCTAAGGCTTCTGGCAGGGGGTCGGCGACTTTCATCAAGAACATGAGCCGCAGGTCAACCGACTTCTGCCAGTATGACCGAATGCTCCCGAAGTCTCTCTCTGAAGGCCATGCGCGCGGCCCAGTGGGAAACGGTCCAGGGCAAGTGGTCCTCCGCCACATTATGCGGATGACCCGCACGCGATGATCGCATCGTGCCCAGATCGGCTTTTGAACCAGATGGCCCGAATGGCGGGAATTGCGCCTTCTTGGTCGGCGCTTCGTGGCGTGGCGGCACACTGCGTGACCGTTGCGCGCCGCAACTTCCCGAGCAATTCTTGCACTACCACGGCCCGCCACGGCGCTGACCAGCCCGCAGAAGCAGCGCGGGTACACCGCACTTCGTGCACACCAAGTTGTCGCGCGTCATCGGTGCCAGCGGCATCCACACGGGTACGATGAGCTTTGGCAAGATGGAGGGTGACGCTTCGGACAAGAACATCGGCTTCATGCTGCAAGACGACGTCGCCGACGGCCCCTACTACCGCCAGGAATGGGAGGGCATGAAGCAGACCACCCCGATCATCTCGGGTGGCATGAACGCCTTGCGGCTGCCTGCGTTCTTCGAGAACTTGGGCCACTCGAACGTTATCCTGACGGCCGGCGGTGGGGCCTTCGGGCACAAGGACGGGCCGAAGCAGGGCGCGATCTCGTGCGCCCAGGGCGAGGAATCGTGGAAGTTGTGGAAGGCAGGCACTTACGGCGACGTGAGCCTGTCGGACGGTGTCGTCGAGTATGCGAAGACGCACGAGGAGCTCAAGGGCGCGTTCTTGACGTTCCAGAAGGATGCGGACCAGATCTACCCGGGCTGGAAGGAGAAGCTCGGCTACACGGGCGAGTCCTCTGTCCAGGCAGCCAGCTTCAACTGGCAGAAGAAGGAGTTGGCCGCGGCGTTCGTTGGCGCCAGCAAGGCTCGCAAAGCGAGCTCTGTGACCCGCCAGGCCCTGGACCAGTCGAGCCGCTACGCGGACCTCTCGTTGACGGAGGAGGACCTGATCAAGAACGGCCAGCACGTGCTGGTGGCCTACATCATGAAGCCCAAGGCGGGCTACGACTACCTGGCCACCGCGGCGCACTTCGCGGCTGAGTCCTCTACAGGCACGAACGTGAACGTGTGCACCACCGACGACTTCACAAAGACGGTGGATGCTCTCGTGTACTACATCGATCCTGAGAACGAGGAGATGAAGATCGCCTACCCGACGGCTCTGTTCGACCGCAACATCACCGACGGTCGCGCCATGATGTGTTCCGTGCTGACCCTGAGCATCGGGAATAATCAGGGCATGGGTGACGTCGACTACGGCAAGATCTATGATATTTATTTCCCGCCGCAGTACCTGCGCCTGTTCGACGGGCCTTCGTGCTGCGTGATCGACATGTGGCGCATCCTGGGTCGCGGCACGGTCGGTGGTGGCCTGGTGGTCGGCACCATTATTAAGCCCAAGCTCGGCTTGCAGCCGAAGCCTTTCGGCCAGGCGTGCTATGGCTTCTGGCAGGGCGGCGACTTCATCAAGAACGATGAGCCGCAGGGCAACCAGACTTTCTGCCAGATGAACGAATGCATCCCCGAAGTCGTGAAGGCCATGCGCGCGGCCCAGGAGGAAACGGGCCAGGGCAAGTTGTTCTCCGCCAACATTACGGCGGATGACCCGAACGAGATGATCGCACGTGCCAAGTACATTTTGAACCAGATGGGCCCGATGGCGGAGAATTGCGCCTTCTTGGTCGACGGCTACGTGGCTGGCGGCACTGCGGTGACCGTTGCGCGCCGCAACTTCCCGAAGCAATTCTTGCACTACCACCGCGCCGGCCACGGCGCAGTGACCAGCCCGCAGACGCAGCGCGGGTACACCGCCTTCGTGCACACCAAGTTGTCGCGCGTCATTGGTGCCAGTGGCATCCACACGGGCACGATGAGCTTTGGTAAGATGGAGGGCGACGCTTCGGACAAGAACATCGGATTCATGCTGCAAGACGACGTCGCCGACGGCCCCTACTACCGGCAGGAGTGGGAGGGCATGAAGCAGACCACCCCGATCATCTCGGGTGGCATGAACGCCTTGCGGCTGCCTGCGTTCTTCGAGAACCTGGGCCACTCGAACGTTATCCTGACGGCCGGCGGGGGGGCCTTCGGTCACAAGGACGGGCCGAAGCAGGGCGCGATCTCGTGCGCCCAGGGCGAGGAGTCGTGGAAGTTGTGGAAGGCAGGCACCTACGGCGACGTGAGCCTGTCGGACGGCGTCGTCGAGTACGCGAAGACGCACGAGGAGCTCAAGGGCGCGTTCTTGACGTTCCAGAAGGATGCGGACCAGATCTACCCGGGCTGGAAGGAGAAGCTCGGCTACACGGGCGAGTCCTCCGTCCAGGCAGCCAGCTTCAATTGGCAGGAAGAAGGGGGAGTTGGCCCGCGGCGTTCGTTGGCGCAGCAAGGCTTTTTTTTCTTATTTTTTTTTTTTTATTTTTTTTTTTTTCCTTCTCGAAAGCAAGCTCTGTGACCCGCCGGGCCCTGGACCAGTCGAGCCGCTACGCGGACCTCTCGTTGACGGAGGAGGACCTGATCAAGAACGGCCAGCACGTGCTGGTGGCCTACATTATGAAGCCCAAGGCGGGCTACGACTACCTGGCCACCGCGGCGCACTTCGCGGCGGAGTCCTCTACCGGCACGAACGTGAACGTGTGCACCACCGACGACTTCACAAAGACTGTGGACGCGCTCGTGTATTACATCGACCCAGAGAATGAAGAGATGAAGATCGCCTACCCGACGGCTTGTTCGACCGCAACATCACCGACGGCCGCGCCATGATGTGTTCCGTGCTGACCCTGAGCATCGGGAATAATCAGGGCATGGGTGACGTCGACTACGGCAAGATCTATGATATTTATTTCCCGCCTCAGTACCTGCGCCTGTTCGACGGGCCGTCGTGCTGCGTGATCGACATGTGGCGCATCCTGGGTCGCGGCACGGTCGGCGGTGGCCTGGTGGTCGGCACCATTATCAAGCCCAAGCTCGGCTTGCAGCCGAAGCCCTTCGGCCAGGCGTGCTATGGCTTCTGGCAGGGCGGCGACTTCATCAAGAACGATGAGCCGCAGGGCAACCAGACGTTCTGCCAGATGAACGAATGCATCCCCGAAGTCGTGAAGGCCATGCGCGCGGCCCAGGAGGAAACGGGCCAGGGCAAGTTGTTCTCCGCCAACATTACGGCGGATGACCCGAACGAGATGATCGCACGTGCCAAGTACATCTTGAACCAGATGGGCCCGATGGCGGAGAATTGCGCCTTCTTGGTCGACGGCTACGTGGCTGGCGGCACTGCGGTGACCGTTGCGCGCCGCAACTTCCCGAAGCAATTCCTGCACTACCACCGCGCCGGCCACGGCGCAGTGACCAGCCCGCAGACGCAGCGCGGGTACACCGCCTTCGTGCACACCAAGTTGTCGCGCGTCATCGGTGCCAGCGGCATCCACACGGGCACGATGAGCTTTGGCAAGATGGAGGGCGACGCTTCGGACAAGAACATCGGCTTCATGCTGCAAGACGACGTCGCCGACGGCCCCTACTACCGGCAGGAGTGGGAGGGCATGAAGCAGACCACCCCGATCATCTCGGGTGGCATGAACGCCTTGCGGCTGCCTGCGTTCTTCGAGAACTTGGGCCACTCGAACGTTATCCTGACGGCCGGCGGTGGGGCCTTCGGGCACAAGGACGGGCCGAAGCAGGGCGCGATCTCGTGCGCCCAGGGCGAAGAGTCATGGAAGTTGTGGAAGGCAGGCACCTACGGCGACGTGAGCCTATCGGACGGCGTCGTCGAGTACGCGAAGACGCACGAGGAGCTCAAGGGCGCGTTCTTGACGTTCCAGAAGGATGCGGACCAGATCTACCCGGGCTGGAAGGAGAAGCTCGGCTACACGGGCGAGTCCTCCGTCCAGGCAGCCAGCTTCAATTGGCAGAAGAAGGAGTTGAGCTGATCGTTCCAATATCCATGAAATGACACAATCGTTTCACGTATCATGTTGGTCATGCGTGTTTGTTTTACAAGGTTTTAGTACTTCAGTTTCGAGTGTATTTTGAGCGCTCTATTTTGGCATACCGTTTTCGAGTCGGCCAGCTTGCTCTGGGCAAGCGGCTGGCTAGCACTCAAGCCGCGTCTCGTAGGCCAGCATTGTAAGCATGTCAGCGATCTGTGTGCAACGTGCACAGTAGTCGCGTCCGTTCTCATTGTCAGGTAAGCTTTCACACGAACATTTGGCCGACTGCCCAGCTTCGTATTTGACGCGCCGAGTGCAAATCAGACCTCTGATGGGGCAGGCGTTTGCCAGAACAAAAAACAAACTCCAGGACCCCATCCAGACGATCCCAGATGCCTTGGACATGGGCCCGGAGCGTTCCAGGACTCCAGGATTGTGTCTCGAGCGCCTGACTTCACACGACGGGTCGCGAGGGCCCCAATCTTGCTACAAGACTGTCCCAGAGACCTCCCAGCGGACCCCCAAGAAACCTAAGACTGGCCCAAGAGGGTCTCCAAGAGGGATCTCGAGGCAGTCAAGAAGGCACCACAAGGAGGCAAAAAGCACCCCCAACACCGACACCTCGAGTCGTGCCCACCATTTTTGGACCCCAAGAGCCTCCCAGGCTCCCAGAGGCCTAAAATAAAGCGGAGAACCCGTCGGGATCCCCAGAACCGTCACAACAGACCTGCAAGATGCCACCCAGTGCCCTCCCAAGAGATCTTACGAGGTATCTCGCGTGGGCCCGCTTCAGAGGCTCCCCAATGCTACGCCGCCGGGTCCGTCGGCAGAAGGACTCGGAGTGACGTGTTGGTCCTGGGGTGCCCCCCCGGGGTGAGGACCCTTCCCCTTCCGTCTCAAACATGCGCGAGCGAAGCGCAAGAAGAAGCGGAGGAGGGAGGAGGAAGAGGAGGAGGAAGAGGAGGAGGAGCAGGAGGAGGAGGAGCAGGAGGAGGAGGAGGAGGAGGAGGAGCAGGAGGATAGGGAGTGGATGCCGGTAGTGGTGACGGAAGCGGTCGTGTCCGTGGTCGTGGCGGTACCGGTAAAGGTCGTGGTAGTTTTACCACAATTGGTGGTGACATTGCAATAGTTAGCCTACATCGATATAAGCGTACGAATCTACATGCACACATCTACCCGGGGAAGGATAATCTGGTATTTCAGGTCAAGAGAAAGCCAGGTCCACGAATTCCCAATTCGGGACCAGGTCCCGTCGGGTTCTGTCCAGACGGCCATGGAGGGTCCCAACATGTTTCAGGCCTAAGAGCGCCCAGTACTCCCAAGGTGGCTTCGAGACTGCCAACATGGCCCCCAAGACGCCCCGAGAGTGCTTCAGTAGGATTCCCCAGAGGACGCCAACAGGCAAACCATGGCGCATCCCTTGAGCAAAACTTGTTGTTTTTTGTTTAGCGTGCTCGCTTGATGTATACTGACACAGTCCAAGACGATCCAGGAGGCCCCATTCAAGTCGCCTTCATGATAGCTCAGGAGGTCCTCAAGATGGCCCCAAAGGATCCGAGAGGGTTCCAAAAGGGACTAGGAGGTTCCAAGAGGTCCCTGAGAGCCCCTGAGAGGCCCCCCAAAGGGCCCCAAAGTGGACCTAGGCCCCTAAGAGTCCCGAAAGTCTTGGGCGCGCGGGCCCAAGTTCAGAACAGGGCGTGCCCGAACGCGCTTTGATTTCGAAGCCTGGCGCTGCTCGCGCCGCGGATCTAGCGATCTTCAGGGGATAGTTTCGCGTGGTGCGGCGCGCGTGCGGTCTGGATCAGCCCGTGCGCTGTGCGTGGTGTCGGGCAGCAGTGTCCCGCTGACCGTCGTTCTCAACGATGGGTTGTTGCTGATCGCTTCTGGCGCAGGAAATGACGAGTTCATGCACTGACGTGCGATGGCATGGCTAGGTCTTGACGGATGGTTCGTAGTGGCTTTCGGGGCCGCGGGAGTGTGTTGGTCATGATTTGGCCAGTTATTTGCGGGGCGTTTGCTGCGCGCCTGGTTGGGCCTTCCCGCGCCTTGCGCACCAGCCTGGCACAATCGGCGCCCCTGGTGTGGCTGGAGCAGCACATGGCGTGCTTCGCGCAGTGTGTGTATCTGGCGCACGCGGCACGCTTGGCACCTGGCATGCCCCGCGCGTCAACTTGCCTCCAATAGAACAGAACGCGCGTCGCGAGGGAGGCGCGAAAGCTCCCAGCGCCGCCTTCGCCGGTGCCCCGATCCAACCATCGATTGCTTGCAAGCTTCAACACGCACGGGCGCACTGCATAACGCCGCAGGTCAATCTAAGCTGTTCCCACGTATCCAGCCATCTTGAATGCAACATCAAGTGTGACGTGTAAGTACCTGTATTGCCTGGAGCACGTAAGGGACACTGTACTGGCACTCGCTCCATCGAAGCCAGGCGGCTGTGCCACAACAATATATTTGGGGAGGGGGGCGGGCCGCACATAATATCAACACTCAGGAGGGGGAAAACGTTCCAGGAAGCTACGGGAAAATATGGGAAACGTTGGGGAAAACGGAAACCTAACAATATGGGGAAAGATGGTGAATCTTGGGATTCGTGTGTATTTCTATGTGTGTGTGTGTGTGTGTGTCCCTGGGCCCCTAAAAGCACCCTGAGGCCATGGCGCCGCAACACTTCACAACTGAGCTGGCAGGTCAACCGCGGACCCGGTCATTTCACAGGATTCCGCGGCTGGGAAGCAAAGGCCCAGCCAGCCCTTCGAGTGATGCCAGAGTTCTGCTCTCGACATTCTGCGCTTACCGATCGTACCGATAATGCAAAAGTTTGAGTTACCACGGGCACGCTGCAAGGTCCACTCAAGGAGCGGTTCACTTTCAGTCATCAACTGCGCAATGCAGGCACCATGCGCGATAACGTTTGATAGGTGTTGGCCACCTTCCACGAGTCTGGAGTTGCTTAGCGAGCACCTCGGCAACCAGGATTCCAAACGACATCCCGCAACGCATCACCTTCAATATCGACAGGCACTGACGTACTCGTCAGGACTCTCTGAAACCTGCACGTTTTCCCCGTGCCTTCCTCGTCTGTCTCCCCAACAGGCATTGCCTACGGGGTTCCTTATCGGAGAGGCCTTACGGCCGGAGCCGCCGACCTTGAACGACGACGGCGACGGCGACGACGGCGGTGGCGGCGGCGGTTGCGGCGGCCTCGGCGGCGGCGGCGGCCCCGGCGGCGGCGGTGGCGAAGGCCGCCTCCCTCCCCACTGGTCGGAGAATCAGAGATTGGGTCTTGAGGGATGGGGTCCCGAGGACCAGGTGCCCGAAGCACCGTAAATTTACCCCAGGGCGTCTCCCCATCCTCAGGACCCCATCCTTCAGGACCCCAGCCCTCCCGGCCGCCCTCGCCGGCGAGGCCGGGGCGCCCCTCCCCCTCCTCTGGGACGACGGAGCCAGAACGAGGACACATTCGGACGAGGACAACGGAGGAGGAGGAGGAGGAGGAGGAGGAGGAGGAGGAGGAGGAGGAGGAGGAGGAGGAGGAAGAGGAGGAGGAGGAGGAGGAGGAGGAGGAGGAGGAGGAGGACCCCATCTTTGAGCCGCCCCCGCCAAAGGAGCCCGGCCTGCTGCGGCAGCGCGGGCCGCCGCACGTAGGCGCCGCGAGAGCGGCGGTGCTGGGCCGGCCCGCCAGGGCGCCCTGGCGGCGGTGTGGGCGGTGGGCGGCCGCCTCCCTGCAGGGGAGTTGGGCTGGGCCGCCTGCCGCCTGCCAGCCTCCCGGCCTCCCTCCGCTCGGCCACGACAACGGCGACGGCGACGACGACGACGCTGACGACGCTGACGACGACGACGACGCTGACGGCGACGACGGGGACGTCGACGACGACGCTGACGAGGACGACGACGCTGACGGCGGTGACGACGCTGACGACGACGACGACGACGACGGCGACGACGGCGACAACGCTGACGGCGACGACGACGGCGTCACGGCGACGACGACGACGCTGACGGCGACGACGACGGCGACGACGACGACGACGACGGAGCAGGAGGCGGAGGAGGAGGAGTTGGAGGAGGAGGAGAAGGAGGAGGAGGAGGAAAAGGAGGAGGAGGAGGGGGAGGAGGAGGAGGAAGAGGAGGAGGAGGAGGGGGAGGAGGACCGGGAGGAGGAGCGTGAGGAGGAGGAGTCGGAGGAGGATGAGGAGGATGAGGAGGAGGAGGAGGAGGAGGAGGAGGAGGAGGAGGAGGAGGAGGAGGAGGGCGAAGAACGAGCCTTGCGGGTGGACGTTCTGAGTTCTTCAGCGCGCGGCCCTTTCCCCGGGACCTCAGGCCCCCCAAACGTGCAGCGTTTCCCTGGTGAGGGCACCCAGAGGCCGACAGTGGCCGAACACCTCCCTGTCGTGATCCTGTCACGACGATCGAGGGTTGCCCTCGATCCTCGGCCCCGCCCTCGCCCTCCATCGGACCTTGATCCTCGGCCCTCCTCCTGGGACGCAGCTCCTGGGATGTTAACTTCTGTATCGTGTCGCTTGTATTTCCGCGGTCGATAGCCAGCATTTGGACTAATCCGGCGTGCTCCGGCTTGATCCCAGCTTGATCCCGGCTGATTCGGCTCAGTCCAGTTAATCCAGCTTCATCCCGTGCTTAATCTGGCCCCGTCCGGCGAAATGGCCGTCTAATCGGGCTCAATCGCCTTTAAACTCGTTTCAGCGAAGAGCTCCCAGGAGTTGCCTCCCAACTCCTCCTCCTCGTCCTCCTCCTCCTCCTCCTTCTCCTCCTCCTCCTCCTCCTCCTCCTCCTCCTCCTCCTCCTCCTCCTCCTCCTCCTCCTCCCCTCCTCTCCTCCTCCTCCTCCTCCCCTTCCTCCTCCCTCCTCCTTCTCCGCCTCCTCCCCTCCTCCTCCTCCTCCTCCTCCTCTCCTCCTCCTCTTTCCTCCTCCCTCCCCCTCCCTCCCTCCTCCTCCCTCCTCCCTCCCCTCCTCCTCCTCCTCCTCCTCCTCCTCCTCCCTCCCTCCTCCCTCCTTCCTCCTCCTCCTCCCCTCCTCCTCCTCCTCCTCCCCCTCCTCCACCTCCTCCTCCTCCCCCCTCCTCCTCTTCCTCCTCCCCCTTCTCCTCCTCCTCCTCCTCCACCTCCTCATCCTCTCCGTAGCCATTTTGGCTCAAGCTTGCCTCAAGCCCCCTGGTGTGCCATTTTCCCATGCGGCATGTGGCGTCTGGAGCTGGCTGTTTGAGGAGATGGTTCTACGTGAGGACGTGGGTGATGCACGTCCATCGCGCTCTGCTGCAGAGCGGAAAGCGAGGCGCGACTGGGCCAAGGCTTCTGCAGACCGCGCTATCAGGCGGCTTGCCGACGAGTTGACCGCCGTGCGCGACAAGCACGAGGAGCTGCTCAGTTGCCTCGGCATCCTTTTCGGCAACCAGGAGGTCTGGGATCGGATCGAGGCCGTTATGCCTGCGCTGGAGCGCTTATTGCGGGCAAGCTGCCCAGCGGAGTTGATCGACTCCGTCGAAACGTAGCTCTTCACGCTCATCGTTGTGACGGTTCCTGTGCGATGGCGTCCAAGGGGCAGCTCCAGCATGCCCAGAAGGGCCTTCGGCTGGAATCGAGGCAGGACATCGGCGAGATGGACGTGCACACGCAGCTGCGCGAGATGCAGGGCCACGGCGAGAAGGTCGGGTTGGACCACGAGGAGGGCGAGCGGGTCGTCCCGTTCACGGCTCTCAACAGCGCCGCCAGGCCCTACGCGCCCGAGCGCTCAAACCAGATGCTGGGCAGCAGCATCGCCGAGTTCGGCGCCGAGGTGGGCGAGACTTTCTTCGAGGAGGGCTCCGGCGCCCACGGCAACTGTTCGGTCTTCGCGGAGTAGGGCGGCGAGCAGTTCCTGCAGGGCGGCGGCTTCGTCCAGGAGGGCGCGGTCGCTAACCAGGAGGCAGGCGACTCCGTTGACGGCGAGATGGATGACCAGGACGGCCTGGGGGACGACAGCGCCGTTCGCGCGGCCGAGCTGCGACGCCTCCTCCTGGGCGCCCGTGCGCGGGTTGACGCGGCGGCAGTGGCGGTCGTCCTCGCAGGCGCTGGTGCAGGCCAGGCCCAGCTCGAGCTCGAGGCGGCGGCCGACCGCGTGGTGGAGATCGAGGGCCGCCTGGCCAGCGCGGAGCCCGTGGAGCCGAGGGCGGACGCATGCCGCGGCCGCCCGCCTCCAGGCCCATGGGCGACAGGCTTCGTGTACGGAGAGCTCGAGGAGAGCTCCAACGCCGTGCTCTTCGTCTTGGGGGGCCCCGACGACGACGTGCGCTCAGCCGCGACGGCCGAGCTACTGACGGCAGCGGACCAGCGCAGCGCGGACCTGACCGAGCTCTTCGCCGCGCTCGGGGCGGATACCCGCGGATCCGGAGGCGAGGCGCCGGGCGGCCGTTGAAGGGGGCCGAGGGCAGCGTGGCGCACGCCGTGTACGAGGTCGGCGTGGGCAGAGCCTGGGGTTAGTTAAACCCAGGCTCGGCCTACGCTCAGGACGGTGAGGCCTCGGCTGGGGTCCCTGGGGCTCTTGGAGGTCTCGCGGGGCTCGCTGGGCCCCGTGGGAATTCGAATGCATGACCCTCCTGGGTCGAGTTTTGCCTCCTCCTCCTCCTCCTCCTCCTCCTCCTCCTCCTCCTCCCCCATTCCCTCCTCTCCTCCTCCTCCTCCTCCTCCTCCTCCTCCTCCTCCTCCTCCCCTCCTCCTCTTCCTCCCCCCCCCCTCCTCTTCCTCCTCCTCCTCCTCCTCTTCCTCCTCCTCCTCCTCTCAAGCCCTTTCGGCGCTGGCCGCGTTCTCCAGGGCTGCCCCAGGACTTTCCCGAGGTGCTTGAGGAACTTCCGTGCACCTGCCAAGGTGCAGGTTTTACGGTCGACCAACGCTGGGGCTCATGGGGCGCCAGGCGCCACGCTCCCCCGCAGCTGCGGGCGCGCCGTGGCGCCAGACAGGCACCGCGCGGCTCTGGAGCCGATGCCGAGGGTGCAACGCATGCGAGTACAACGACCTCCTGGACCCGATCAAGCCCGCCTGCCCTCTCTGCAACAGGCCGATGAAGCTGCGTCGCGCACGCCCACGGAGTCCGAGCTTGGCCCGATTCGGCGACGAGGAGATCTATGAGGTCGGGGAGGCGGACACACCCACCACGGCCACTGGCGCACGGCGCCAGGACAGCCGCGCCTCCTTCGCCGTCCACCTCGGGCAGGCCATCGCCGTCGCCGTGGGCCCCGCACGGAAGGCCATCCTCAGTGCGCAGCTCCAACGCGTCATGGCCGAGGAGGACACCGCAGTGCAGGTCGGCGGGCCGAGGCCACGCGCGAAGCCGATGGCGCCTGGAGATCGGCGGTCAATCATCGCAGTCAAGTCGTCAGCACTGTCATCAGGCCCCGCTGGGCGCTCGAGAACGCCGAGGCCAAGGAGGAGGGCGCCGCCCTCCAGGTCGCCCGCGCCGAGCAGGCCAAGAGGCGGGCCGCGGAGGCTTTGGTCAAGGCGGAGGGGGTCGGCGGCGGCGAACCGACCCGCACTCGCGCCCAGGCCGCAGACGCCGCGCAGAAGCCGCTCGCCATCTTCTGGGGCCCAGGGCTGTCCCGCAATATTGACGAGTTGGAGCTCACTGCGGCGGAGCAAATGGAGCTCGATGCTGTCAAGAAGGGCCTCGAGGAGTTGCAGCAGCAGTTCGCCGCAAATGGGCCGCAGGTCTCCTCGCTGATCGAGCGGGCCCAGAAGGTTCGTCCAGCGCAGGGGGGCAGGTACCTCAAGAAGCGCAAGGGCGAAGACGGCACTGCCGGCGTTCCCGCCGAAGCCGAGTCGGCCGCAGCAGCCGCGCCGCCTCGCGGCTCGGGTGAGGCGCCAGCCTCCGCGGGCAGCACCAAGGAGACCAACGCCGCCGAGAACCGCGAGAACGAGGCAGAGCCAGCTGCCGAGGCCGCCAAGTTGTTTGCTGCACGCTTCGCTGCAGAGCAGGCAGCCGTGCAGGCCGGCCACCCAGCGAATCCAGCCGACGCGCGGCCGCCCAAGAAGGAAAAGGGCAAGACGGGCGGCGGACGCTCCCAGTCTTCTTGACAAGGCAGAGCAGGGTCCAGCGAGGCGGACCAGACAAGTGACCCTGCCGCTCCAGTGTAGTCTGATGCCGCCAACGTTACCAGTGCCCGTGCATTTTCATTTTCTACAGCAACGTCACATGCACGGGGCAGAAGGCATTCGATTGGATCGCCACCGGCGGCGGCTTGGAGATGCAGTCCGCCCACGCCTACGTGGACGTTGCCTCGCTACGCTCTTCGACCTCCGAGCTGGAGAGAGGGGCCTCGCCAGGGAGCTTCCGCGCGAAGCCTTCGTTGCCTGGCTCGCGGTTTGGATTGCCGACCCCCGGCCCCGCCATGCCATCGCCCTTACTTGGGCCAAGATTGTCAATCATGTCCTCGCCATCCCACCTGCGGAACGTGCCCGACGCGTGCGTGGGCCGCAGCTCACCATCATGCACTACTTTCAGCAGATGGGATAGGGCCCCACGCGGCCCAACCTATGGGGGCTGCCCAGCGACAGCAACCGCGCGGACGACGCCTGGGAGTTCGACGCCGCCGCCTTGCCGGGGCACCCAGACGCCGTCATCCCGCGCTGGCTGCTCGACGACATCGACGCCGGCATCCAGCGCCAGTTGTGGCGACGAGCCAGCCAGCATCAAAATGGGGAAGGTCTCCAACATGGAGCAGGCAACCCTTCGCATCGCAGGTTTCTAAGGTATCTCGAGGAGGCGCCGCAGGGGGGCCGCCCTTCCAATCTCGTGCTTACCATTGCCACAGGAGCCAAGTGGACCAGGAAGCGCATAGTTCAGGTCACTCAAGTGCCTAATGTTGATGCCGTTTGCCCGAGGTGCCGCGCCGAAGAAGAGGGCGACTTCCATGGGGCATAGGGGTGCGGCCACAACCGCGACAACTCCTTCATCCAGGGCGCCATCCACCTCCTTCCCGAAGCCATGGCGCAACGACGCAACAATCGAATGTTTTTGGACGCGCGGCGTCACGCCAAGCGTGTGGGCGCAGATTGCGGCGCCCACCATGGTCGAATAATGGACTTGACATGGGTTCCGCGAATGCCACGTTGCTCGTCTGCATCACTTACAAGAACAACCCATGTATGCCCTCGGCGACGCCAACGGAGGACAGGGCGCCGGCAACTCGCACCTGCGGAGACTCGGAGTTGGTGCAGTATTCTACGGTTCGCTTGACAATGACTTGCAGAGACAGACCGCAGCGTGGGGCGAGCTACTTGCCTTGGCCACCGCTGTCGAGGCCACTAATCAAGATATCGTTCATTCCACGGGCAACCAGGGTTGCTGTCTTGGATGCCACAACGGGCGCGTCCAGGAACCTATTGGACAGGGCGCAGACCTCTGGCTCCGACTCCAACGTTCATGGGCTCGACGGCAAGGTCGCGCCACTGTCCTCTGGACCCCATCGCACATGGAGGCGCGGGACATTTTGCGCGGCAGGCTGGCGTCCACGCCCGCCTGCGGCAACTGCGTTGCCGACGCGCTCGCTGGCATAGCCGCCGGCGAAGCCAGAGCTTGTGTGACCGAGTGCCAACCAGTGGCGCTCATCGAGCAAGAAGCTTTCCCTGTTCGGATGGGATTCCCCCGAGCCGCTATTGACGCAGTCGGATCAGAGGAGAGCGAGTGTCAGTCTCAAGGTGGGCCGCGCCCAAAGCGGCCGAAGGGGATAAAACCCGAGCGGCCACCAGCCCTCGGTCTGTGTGTTCTTTTCGGGTCTCAACGCCAGGTTGACCCCGCAGGCTCCATGTGTACTAGGTGTCTCAGTTCCTCCAGCAAGGCCTTGAGGTCCCTTTGGCTCCAGAGTGAGTGCTTCGAACCTTTAATGTAGATGGCACGTTCAAGGAGGCTCCTCTTGGGATGAAGGTTCATGTCGCTGGGGGGGGGCTTGTGCGCACCAAAGCCACCGTGTAAGGTTCCACGTTGGGCTGAAACTTTGGTTGTGTATTTTTTTGTGGCGCTCATGCGCAGCTGGTCCTCAGGGAACTCGGTGCCCCTTGCGAGAAGCCCACCTTCACGGGAAGTGGATACCTCAAGCGTATTGCTAGAGAGTCTGGCCCAAGGACCTCAGTCGTGCTGAGAAAGGCCTCCAGAGCCAAGACCACCCTGCATAGGGTGGTGGAGTTAAAATTTCATACATCGCTACGCGATCTGGCAGAGACTCCTCCTCCTCCTCCTCCTCCTCCTCCTCCTCCTCCTCCTCCTCCTCCTCCCCCTCCTCTTCCTCCTCTTCCTCCTCCTCCTCCTCCTCTTCCTCCTCCTCCTCTCCCTCCCCCTCCCCCTCGTCCCCCTCCTTCTCCTCCTCCTCCTCCTCCTCCTCCTCCTCCTCCTCCTCCTCCTCCCCGTCCATTTCATCTTCCCCTTCTGTCCCCGCGCCCTCGACCCTCTCCCCCCCGCCCCTCGTCGAACAGGCCCCGGCGCCACAGGGCCCCGCGCCCCGACGCCTCGGCGCGCCTCCCCCCCGCCGGTTCCGCCCGGCGGCCCAGGTCCGCTCCCGCCGCTTCGCGGGGGCGGCAGAGGGGGGGGGACGTTTTTTTTTGGGGGGGGGGGATTCATGGCGTGGATGTCGTGGGTGGATCTCACGGCGCCTCTTTTTACTTCACTGCGTCCCTGGCCCCCCCTTTTGGGCCGCGCGCGTGCCGCCGGCCACGATCTGCGCCCCCCCTCTTCGGCCGCCCCCGAGCTTCGGCGGGCCAGGGTGCGGCGCGCTCCAAGGGCACGCCGCTATCCAGCGCCCGGGCGAGCGGAAAAAAGTCGCGGCGGCGACGGCCACGGCGAGGACGATCACGACGGCGACGGCCACGACGAGGACGATCACGACGGCGACCCAGAGATCCGAGGATCGGTTTTTCAATCCGGCGTTTGTTCCTGGATTTCGGCCTCTGGGGCCCATTATCGGGCTCGCGGACCTTGGAGCGCCAAGCCTACCTGCCTCTGGAAGACCAGCATCTGGGCCTATGCCAGGTACCGCTTTCACATTCCAGCCCAAAGCGTCTATGGACACATTGGGTGCCGTAACGTCCATCGAACTTTTCGGGGTGGATACGTCTATGGGCAACGTGGCCGTTGCGTTCGGCGCGGTGCAAGGTCGGACGAAGGGTAGATCCGTCTAACGTATTTTAATGTTCTAGAGCAGGTCCCGCATGGTACTCCAAGGAAGAGAGTCGGCGCCCATCCCCAGAGATCCGAAGATATGATGTCTTGAGTCCAGCGTTTCTTCCTGGGTTTCGGCCTCCAGGGCCCGTTATCGGGCCCAGGGGCCATCAAGAGTGGATTTGGGACGAATCCTTTGGGGAAGGGATGAAGAGACGGGCGCTGACACAAGAGTGGACCTGGGCACCCCTGGGGAAGGGGTCGGGACCTGGGGCCTCGGATTGACCGAATCATATCGGCGGATGCCTGGGTCCAGCGTCCGGGCGAGAGGAAACGAGTCGGCGCCCACCTGGAGAGGGTGCGTCGGGGCTCACGCAACGGTCCTAGAGCCCGAGGAGATCCTTGTTGACGCGCAGAGGGGGGTAGGCCCCGAGGAGGAGGAGGAGGAGGAGGAGGAGGAGGAGGAGGAGGAGGAGGAGGAAGCCCCTCGCGTTTTGACAAAAAACACGACCGGGGGTTTTCCCTGTTTTCGGCTCTCGGGGCCCGGGACCGTCAAAGTCGGCCCAGGATGAAAAACAGATTCCGGGGAAAGGTTAGGAGGGGAAAATACACAGACACAAGTAATTTTCGATTCCCAGGAAAATATGGGAAACCATGGGAAGTGGGGGGAAGACAGAAACCCAGAAAATATATCACACAAATTGCGAATCCTGGGATTTGCGTGTATTTATTTGTGTGCCCTTGGGCCCTTTTAAAATGGTCGGGACTTCAGGGATCGGGTATCGAAAAAAACAGGACGTCGCATGTCTGTGGGTAGGGGAAGGGGGGAAGGCTTCTTAGAAGCACCCCTGCTTCTCAGAAGGCGCGGGCCTCATCTGTAGATGTAAGGCCGGCGCCTGCTAAGGAGCGGTCTCCTTTGAGAAGTCGTCCCCCCTCCACCTACCCTCTTGTGCGCGCCGCCAAAACTCCGCCAGTCGAGTTACTCGTGCAATGCTGTATGCCATTGCTGTATGCCAGTGCTGTATGCCATTGCTGAACAGTTGCCGCGTTCGAGTTCACGATGCTTCACAGTTGTGCCGCCACGAATCCTTTGGATAACTATCCCACAGGCTGTTCCAGCACGGTGGACGACGAGGCGCACAACCGAGTTTGCTGCGAGGGCCGATGACGAGCAGTCGCGAGGCAACGCGGGCAACCACAGCCTCAATGTTGCGTGCGAGTGTACCGTCGGAGATCCAAGCGCGACTGGAGCAGATGGTGTAGCTTTCAGATGTGTTCAGCACATCGCTCGCGACAACCCTTGCGGCGTCGCCCTTGCCGCCGCATCGGCAAGGGCGTTGCCGCCTACTTTGACACCGCTCACTTTTATGGCCCAAGGCGGGGAAACGCAGAGTCGCAGGCCCAGGTGGTGAAGCGCAGCATCTGACATTCAGAGGATCATTTGCGGGCGCGCTGCCCAGAGCTTGGTGGATCTGAGTCCCTGATGTCCGCCCACCCTGTGCGGGGAGGACTCCAGCATGACGGAGACCTTTCTTTCTTACCAGCACCGCCGCGCCACAGTTTGCCCCCGACGGTATCGCCTCCAACTCCTTCGCTGTCCAATTTCACCGAAGGTCCGTTAGGTGTCTGAGCCATGACCTTACCTTTTGCCAAGTGGAATGAGCAATCACACGCACACACACTCACCGTGTGCGAGCGCTTTGCTTGGGTTGCAGCTCTGCAAGTTTGGAGCGCTTTGGCAGTGGACTCGTGCTCGCTGCTGTCGCTGGCGCCGTCTTCGTGAATCGTCGGGCATCTTGATCATGACCGTGTGTCGCTGTCGTCACGGATTGTCGTCCTAGTCGCCTTCCTCGTCTTCGTCGTCGTCGTCGTCGCCATCGTTGCTGCTGCCTCTGTCGCCATTGCCGTTGTTGTCCTACAACCCTCGTCAAAAATAAACTGAGGGAAACTGTTTTCGGTGATTGTATGGTCAGCGCTACTCCAATGCTGACGCTAGATATCTGACGTGGACGTAAGGGCTTCCAAGATCCGACGACCCCTCCGCAGCATTGAAGAACGCAGTTTCAAACAAGTGCCCGAGAAGATCGATCTCCGTGATTTCCAATTGCGTTTCTGTTTATTTTTGACGAGGCTTGTAGTTGCCCCTCTTTGCCTCCAGGCCCCCTTCTGCGCCAGCAGGCGAGTGGGCGGAGGGTGCCCCCCCAGGCGTCTGCGGGCGTGCGCCGACATGGCCGGGCAGCCCCTTGAGCCAGAGTGCCGTCCGCGCCTCGCCGCGCCGTGCGGAGGAGGAGGAGGAGGACGATGAGGAGGAGGAGGTGGCTGAGGAGGGGGAGAAGGAGGAGGTAGGAGGAGGAGGGGGAGGGGGAGAGGGAGGAGGAGGGGAGGGGGGAAAAGGAGGAGGAGGAGGAGGAGGGGGAGGAGGAGGGGAGCTCCTGCAGGTATTTGCTTCTCGGCGCCCTGGCTGTGGGTGAGGGGGCAGGCTCCACGGATGCCGCGGCTGGGCTTGCTGTGGCAGGATCGGCGGCGCACCCGAGGCACGAAGGAGCGCTGGTGGAAGGAGAGGTCAGGGGCAGGCTGTGCTGCTGATGGTGCTGCCCCCCCCCTCCCCTGCTCCTCTTCCAATTCGCCATCCCCCTCTGACTCTCTCGGTCTCTCTCTCTCTCGGTCTCTCTCGCTCTCTCTTCCCCCTTGGCTCGTCCGACCGACCTCGGCGGGCTCGCCTGCTCCGCCCAACGGCCGGGGCTCCAGAAGAGCTGCCGAAGACGGCCAGCGGCCCGGCGAGGCGGCGCCTGCAGGGAGGTGCCCTCCCCGGGGCGGCCTCTCGGGGGAGAGGCGCCGTCGTGGGGCACGCTCATGACGGGGCCAGGGCGGGGACCCAGACATGGTCGCGGCGCAAGAACAAAGAGCACGACGGGAGGTACTCCAGATTTCGTAATAGAGGGAGGGGGGTCTCATTTCGGGGGGGGGGTCTCTGCCAGGCTATCTTGGAGGGCCTGGGGGGTCTGGGGACGATGTCTTGGAGGGTTCTCCCACGGGGGGGGTCTGAGATGGCTTGTCTTGGAGGGTCCAGACCCCCTCCCTTTTATTACGAAATCTGGAGTACCTGGCTGTTTTTTCGGCCTCCGGTGGGCCTCGTCGGGCCTCGGGGCCGCCAGAGAGCGACCCAGGGTGGAAGGCCAGTCCCGGGGAAGGCGTCGGGACTTCCAGGGACCACGCATTGACAAACATCAGGACGTCGCATGTCTGTCAGGGTCGGCAAAGAGGGGGGTGATGACTAGGGGGGTTGGATGTCATGGCGGGGGGCATGATATGAAAGAGCGTGTTCTACCGCTGCTGGCGGAAAACCAAGGGGGGCCACTACCGGTTCGACCCCCCCCCCTCCGGAAAATTGGGGTGGGTCACTGCCGGTTCGAACCCCTCCCCCACCCCACCCCAGTCCATCATGAAAAGGGGGGGGGGTCACTACCGGTTCGAACCCCCCCATCCTCCTCGAAAACCGGGGGGGGTCACTACCGGTTCGAACCCCTCCCCCCCCCTCGAAAACCGGGGGGGGTGCGGACAGAAGTGGTGACGGTGGTGGTGGGGACAGTGGTGAGGGTACAGCGGGACAGTGGTGAGGGGACAGCGGGGCAGTGGTGGGGACGGTAGTGGTGGGGACAGTGGTGAAGGCGGTGGTGAGGACAGTGGTGGGACAGTAGCACGGTGGGGAAAGTGGTGGGGACAGTGGGGACAGTGGGACAGTGATGGGGAGAGTGGGGACGCTGGGACAGCACAGTGGGACAGCGGCGGGGACAGGGGACAGTAGTGGGTACAGTGGGGACTGGGACAGTGGTGGGGACCGTGGGGAAAGTGGGGAGAGTGGGACCGTGGTGGGACAATGGTGGGGAGAGTGGGGACAGTGAGACACTGGTGGGGGGCACTCGTGGGGACAGCGGGGACAATGGTGGGAACAGTGGGGACAGTGGGACAGTGGTGGGGGCGGTGGTGGTGGGGACAGTGGTGTGGGGACAGAGGGAATGTGGTGGAAACAGTGGGACAGTGGATGGTACAGTGGCGGTGGCGACAGTGGTGAGGGCGGTGGCGGGGACGGCGGTGGGACAATGGGACAGAGGTGCAGTAGGGACAGTGGTGGGGACAGTGGGGACAGTGGGGACAGTGATGGGGACAGTGATGGGGACAGTGGGACAGCGCAGTGGAACAGCGGAGGAGACAGTGGGACGGTGGGGGCAGTGGGGATAGTCGGGCAGTGGTTGGGGCCGTGGAGGAAGTGGGGAGAATGGAATCGTGGTGGGAACAGTGATGGGGACAGTGGGGACAGTGCGACAGTGGTGGGGGCACTGGTGGGGACAGTAGGGACGGTGGTGGAACCAGTGGGGACAATGGTGGTGAGGACTGGTGCTGGGAACAGCAGTGGAGGGACTGGGAGTCGTTTGCTGGGGATTCGAACCGGTAGTGACCCCCCCTCGGTTTTCGAGGGGGGGGTTCGAACCGGTAATGGCCCCCCCCCGTTTTTTCGACGGGGAGGGGGGGGGTTCGAACTGGTAGTGACCCCTCCCGGTTTTCCGGGGGGGGGGGGTTCGAACCGGTAGTGACCCCCCCGGTTTTTTGGAGGGGCTTGGGGGGGTTCGAACCGGTAGTGACCTTCCTCTGGCTTTCTGGGGGGGAGGGGGGGGGGTTCGAACCGGTAGTGACCCTCCTCGGTTTTCGAGGGGGTGTGGGGGTTCGAACCGATAGTGACCCCCCCTCGGTTTTCTGGAGGGGGGGGGTGGGTGGGGAGGGGGGGGTTGTCGGGGGAGGGGGGGGGTCCAGCAGGGGGGGGATTTTCGGGGGGAGGGGGGGACCCCCGGGTTCCGGAGGAAGAGGGGCCATCCCAGATTTCATGGCGCCTCCCCTTATTTCATTACGTCCCTGGTCCCCCTCTGGGGCCGCGCACGTGGCGCCGGCCATGCTTTGCGCCCCCCGGTAGCCATTTTGGCCCAAGTCGCGCCGGGAGTGGCATAGCAGAGCATGCCCTTTGCTCCTTTTGTACCAGAGCATACCCCTTACTGTACTGACTCTCTGTCACATTCTTTTTCTCCTGACGGAGCCCCTTTCCGGTCGCTTACTTCTCCACTTTCGCGATGCCAGCGGGAAAGCATCATATGGGGACCCCGGTGAAGAGTGTCCTGGAGCAGGCCAGGCGAAGCAGCCCTCAACAGGATATGGACGCATTTGCATGAGCAGAGGGTACCTCCGATGAATTTCAAACGCAGCGCCAGATGCAATTTCAAGAACAGCTTGCAGCGGCAGCTGGAATAGATACAGTGCCCTCCGTACACAGCAATGTTTTTCGTCGTACGCTGTAACCATGGACGCAATCGAAAACTTATTGAAGACACAACTTGACCCTATCCATACCGATCTTGCCGCTATCAAAAGGCATGGAGTATCGAAAGACGACATTGAGAACGTGTTGGCGTTGGCACGCTTGAGTGTCGACAATCTTACATCACGGGTAGAAAACTGGAAAATGCATCTCGGGCCCCATCCGCACGCTCTGGAACAGCATCGAGCATCAGCACCCATATGGAGGCAACTCTCTCAGACTTGGAGCGGCACCTTTCTGAGCGTACTACCAAAGGGGATTAGGAAACTATCGCTGTTTTTGGAGGTATCGGAGATTTTGCGGATCTCGATTCTGCGTTCACCTTCTTCAACAATCACATCAAAAACCGTCGCTTTCCAGAGCCCTTGGATATTTACGTGAGACGTGACAAAGGGGATTTCAATATCATCGTCTTTGCAAAATTTGGGTCTACAGCTGTCCGGGACAAGTTCATCGCGTCTTTCGGTAAAGCCCAGATCAAGCACAACGCTAACACGACATGGACTCGTCCCGACCAGCCAGTCGATAAAAAGGGTCTCGGAGTCGTTCTTGTTTGGCTTCTCGAAGCTGTTCGTCGACGAAAGGGGCTACACCAAGGGAGAGGCCCGCGTGGACACGCACGAGCAGACGTTCAAACTGGCGGGTGAGCTGGCGGTGCGTGCGACGGTCTCCAACCACCGGCTGCATTTCTCTTGGTACGGTGCGTGGGCGACTTGGGGCGACCTCAAAGACAGTCCCGATCTTGGCCTCCTCACGTCCCGAGCGAACGAAACGCTAACCAGGGCAGCGCCAGGAGCTGGGAAGGAAAAGAAAGGAGGAGGTAAGGGAATTAATTGCACACTAGGAAACACGGCGGCGCATCGGCAATGCAAATTCTTCCAAAGTTGGGGAATGGATCACTTTTATTTGCTTTTCTATATGTTGTGGGTGGATTGCTTCGTGGAATGTCGAAGGCATTGCCCAAACCAGCCCTCAGAAATTGCGCGAAATCGCAAAGCTCATGATGAACTTGGATATCGCTGTCATCTGTCTTCAAGAGACACATTGTCGTGGATCCGCAGTCCATGAATTTGATATCTTTTGTTATTTATCAGGGTCAGAAGGGCGACCACAGAGAATATGCTGGAGTGGGTTTCGTAGTAGCACCTCGGGCTAAACAGTCAATTATAACATGCATCCAATACAGCAGCAGAGTTGCAACACTACGGATACGCATGGCGGGAGGAGTACTGGCGCTGATCAGTGTCCACGACTGGGCCAACGCTCATGATCTCGACACCCGCCACGATTTCTTTACGGCTTTGGCCCAGATGTCTGTGCACGGCCGCGGCGACGGACTAACAAAATTACCCGGAGATTTGAATGCGTGGTTCTTGCAAAGTTACGCTGGTGAGGAGGACGTCGTAGGAGATTTCGCGCACCGCAGCCACGCCAGCAAATGGGCGCCTACATCGCAGATAGACTAATTGGTGGAGTTGCGAAGTTGCCGCAGACACGTGCATCGCCAACGCGTGTTTCGACGTAGCCGTAGGGGCCCAAAGTGGCGCGCTACGACATTGGGCCCCGTCCCACGGACGCCGCGCCGCCCCGCGCTTGAGAGCAGTTGGGCCCCGTTGTGCTCGACCCGAAATGGTTGCCAACTGTTGGTTGTGTATGCGGCGATCGTGGCGCAGTGTTGCAGTCCCATCATTTTCTGAGTGAGGTCAACGTCCCGAGGCAGAAAGGCGCACCTCGACCACTCCGGCATGATTGGGCACTTCTCTGGGATAGTTCCACTGCAAAAGCCTGCGCCGAATAATTTGTTGAAGATTGGGTTTCCGGAGCACCTGGCGATGCCGTCGAAGGACAGACTGAACGCAGTGCGACATCTATGATAGAGTCAGCGTCG